GTAGTATTCTTCAAAAAAAAAAGAGGAGTCCTTGAATGACATCTTTTGTTACTCTTTTGTTTGGGAGTGATGTACTGAGAGCCAAGCTACTGTTGCAGAGACTTCTGTATTCGCCTCTAATAAGTTCACTCTCCTGAACATGTTCTAACATGTCAGACATTTCCGTAGCCACAGAAAATTGTTGCCCTCCGATATACCCATTCAACTCCAATTTAAGTCAATACACTGTACAACTAAGATTGAGGTACACACCTTTTATTTGCTTTGTCAGATAACTAGGGTGTACGAAAAACCCATATCAAAGAAGATTACTAAAACACTAAGGGTGTGTCTAGACTACGTTTTTCTTTCGAAAGAAGATATGCAAATTTGTTGGTAATTTGCATATCTTCTTCCGATTGCTTTTTCAAAAGAGGTTTTTTTTTGGAAAAAGCAAGCAGTTTACATGCAGTTCTTTTGAAAAAAAAAACCCATCTTTTTTCAAAAGAAACTTCTTCAAAAATTGAGGTTTACAGGTTCTTTTGAAAAAGTTTTTTTTTTAAGAACCGCATCTAAACTGCTTGCTTTTTTGAAAAAATACCAATCCTCTTTCGAAAAAGCAATCGGAAGAAGATATGCAAATTATGCAATGGCTTCCTCCATAAATCTGATACTTCTATCAGATTTGTGCATCCCCACTCCCATTTTTTTTAAGCCAGCCCTTCTTGGAAATACAGGTTGGGCTTCCCTGGTTTGGAACCCTCAGGTCCCGAATGACAGAATTTGCCAGATTGGGGGAAGGCCAACTCCAGCCCCACTATTGGGTTCTGCTTCTGGGCCCAGCTGGGGGGTCCCTGGCCAGTCTCTCCTGGCCCTGGCTGCCAGCTCCCCTGTCTGGTGCCACTTCCAATCCCAGCTAACCTGCCAGCCCCTTTTCCACCCATCCTGCTCATGCTGCCTGCTCCAGCTGGACTCCCAGCCACTCGGACTTCCCACACTGCTGCCACTGGCCCTGCTCAGGTTGCTGGTCACCAGCTCCAGTGGGGCTTCTGGCCCTGCTGCTGCTGGTACCGACTGGGCTGACCACTCCTACCCAGACACCCTCCTGCTGCCTAACTCCAGGCTACTAAGGTTCTCTGGTCCAGGAACATCCGTGGTCCTGCTGGACTTGCTGGACCAGAGAATCCTGGTTCAGAGAAGTTCAGCCTGTGCTACACAGCACAGTGTCACCAAATAAAAATGTCAGAGAACTTTGTGTTAAGCCCCCCTCATCTATGTAAGGTGCCAGTTCATGCACCTGTAAATACAAACCTAGATTATCAGTTTCACTGGTTTCTAGACTGACCAGGTCTGGACAGTGAGTCAACATGTGTTATGTTTTTATGTAGCTGAGGTGAAAAAGATGGATACTGTCAGGAAGCATTTATCATTAAAGTAGCAAAATTCCCACTACTGATCTCTCTATGGCTATGTCTAGGCTGCAAGCCTCTTTCGAAAGAGGCTTTTTCAAAAGATACTTTTGAAAAAGCATCTTTCAAAAAAAAAACATCTAGACTACAACCAGTACTTTTTTGAAAGAGAGCACCCAAGCAGTCTGGATGCTCTCTTTCTAAAAAGCACAGTTTGCATTACAGAGCGCCTTTTTTCAAAAGAGCATTTTCGAAAAAAGGCATTCTTCCTTGTAAAACGAGGTTTTCCGCTGTCAAAAAAACTGCCACTTTTTTTGATTTACTTTTGAAAGAACATGGCAGCAGTCTAGATGCAGGGGAAGTTTTTTTGAAAAAAGGCCACCTTTTTCGAAAAAACCCTTCAGTCTAGACTCACTATAGCTATGCCTACATCGGCATAATCTTGCGCCAAAGCGGCTGCTTTTGTGCAAAAACATGCTGCCTGTCTACACTGGCAGGGAGTTCTTGCGTAAGAACACTGACGTTCTAATGTGTAAAATCAGTGCTTCTTGCGCAAGAACTATGATGCTCCTGCTCAGGAATAAGCCCTCTTGCTCAACTGTTCTTGCGCAAGAGGCCAGTGTAGACAGGCAACATGAATTTCTTGCACAAGAAAGCCCGATGGTTAAAATGGCCATCAGAGCTTTCTTGAGCAAGAGAGCGTCTACACTGGCACAGATGCTCTTGTGCAAAAGCACATCTCTTGTGCAAAGGCACATGCCAGTGTAGATGCTCTCTTGCGCAAATACTTTAACACAAGAACTCTTGCGTTAAAGAGTATTTGTGCAAGATCATGCCAATGTAGATGTAGCCTATGAGTCAACCTTCATGCCTACTTGTCCCTCACAGATGGGGAGGAGCACCCCATAAACATCTGCTGAGCTATCCCATTATCCATCCTCAAAACTCTCCTTACTTTTGCAATGATGCCTATGAAAAAATTGTCAATAATTAAGCAATGTTGGGTGTGCTGAGACTTCTGCCTAGTAAACTGGTCTGTGCTGCCTTATTGTTTTCTTGTTCTCCTCTGTCTGTCCATATTCACCTCTTGTCTCTTTTTATGCTTGAACTGTAAGCCCTTTGAAGCTGAGACTGTCACTTTGTCACAAGGGGACAATGAGGGCAAACAGACCCTCTCCCAGAGAGGCTATGGGGGAGCAGTGCAGGGAGTTCCTGAAAAGAGGGAATGGTAGGGTGGTACATAGCAATCTTGGTGAGGGGAATGAAGGGATGCAAGAAGCTATGGAGTTTGCACACCCCTAGTAATAATAGAAATGATTTTACAAACCATAGCTCTGTTCCCAGAGGGAACGTCTACACGGCAGGTCAAAAGTCGAATTAAGCTACGCTACTTCAGCAACATCAATTGAATAGCTAAAGGCGAAATAGCTTAATTTGCCTTTTGGCGCTGGCTACACAGCAGGAAGTCAAAGGACGAACACTCTTCCTTCAACTTCCCTTCCTCCTCATGAAATGGGGGTTGCAGGAGTCGGAGTAAGACATCCTTCAACTCAACATTATTTCAAAATAATAACTTCCTGTGTAGGTGCGCTCTTGGTTATTTTGGAATAACGTGAGTTATTCTGAAATGACACTGCTGTGTAGACGTACCCTTAGAAAGCTATGTGGATACAGATGGGAATTTCATTCCAGAGTTCTTTTACGGTGTGCCTTGTCTTCCTTTAAAAAATGGCTCGCAGTTAAAAATGAAAATATATAGCCCTGCACTTCAACTTTATATTCTCCGCATGTTCTTCTACTTCACTAACCTCTAGCCAACTTTTTTGTCTGTACAAATTACTTCATGTGAAGGCAATTTAAATTACATGCAGTCTGACTATGTGTGATAATTTAAACTGATTGTTAATTAATTCTGTAAGTAAATAGCTACTGCAATCTCTATAATCATCAAGGTTTCTCTAGCTATCAACCTTTTTCTGGGCTGCTTTTTATTATACGGTACGGAGCAAAAGGCTCTGAGGAAAAAATGATATGCAGGATCTCTTTCGGGGTCCTTGTGGCAGAAAGCAGCCCAGCTTCTTGAAAACCCAGACTGCTCTTCTTAGAATTAATTTTTTGCAAAACCGAACTGTTTGTAAAGATTGATTTTCTGTATATAGCGTCTGAGGAAACATATCATGAGATTTAGGTTAGATAAAAAGTAAGACTCTGATGTGAGGTACAAGTGTTAATCAACTGGAGATAAGAGTTGATGAGGTTATATCATCCCAGTACCTGTGAGACTGACTATTAGTTATGTTTTCTGGCCTCTCAGTCACTTTGCAGAGCAAGTAGAAAGCAGATATCAGAGGAAGTTTACTAGCGCCTGATAAGTTTCAAGGTTAGACTGAGCTCCAAATTCTCTTAAATCACTCCCTAATTGGTCCTTAAAATGAAGACCTATTTGGAAAGTCATGATTTTTCCCTGGTTTTTAAGTTGTATCTCTCACATTACTACAAAATGCAAATCAAACCCTCTTTGAGTCACCATAGCTAGGACTTCCAAGGGGAGCAGCATAACGGATGAAGTCCTGGAAGATGGTGTGAGGGTTCTAATCAGAACTGAGCTGGCTCTCTTTGCAACAAAAGATGAGCCACAACCAAAGAACACTCCATGCTGTCCCAGCTGCACATCGGTACCACTTACCTGCAGTCATACCTTATCTTGCTGCCTGCCAGGCTAAAGAAAACATTGATGCGGCTGAAAAGTAGTAAGATAACCCCTTTGCCGCCTACTCTGCCACCAAGAACTATAGTTGCCGTGGCTTCCATTCCAATCTGATTCCATTTGAATTCTCTGCTGTTTGGCCGTGCCCCATAGAAGTCAACTTTCTCTGAGTGTAGAACTGTGGTTTTCAAACTAGGGGTCATGGGATGTCAAGTACTGGGTCTCGTTGCTGTAGGGTGATCCATGGGGGGCGGAGGGAGGCTAAGGCAGCTTCCTGCTTGTCTTGGCACCGCAAACTGCTCTGTGCCTCAGAAATGTCAGCAGCAGGCCCGGCTCAGGAGGGCTCCACACACTGCCCCTGCTCTGAGCTCTAGTTCTGCACTCCCATTGGCTAGAAACCTGCTGCTGGCTGCTTCTGGGGCGCAGCATGGTCTGTGGAGCCAGGAGAGGTAGGAAGCCACCTTAGCACCCCCACTGCACCTCTGACTGGGAACCCCTCAAGGTAAGCCCGCTCCCCCCTTCCTCCACCATCAAGGCTGGAGCCCACTCTTACAGCCCAAAACTCTTATCCTCAGCCTCACCCTGGAGCATATGCTTCAGTCAAATTATGTGGGGCTGTGGGCATCAACGATTTTCTTCAACTGGGTTGTGAGAAAAAAAGTTTGAAAATGGCTGGTGTAGAATACCTTGAACTGCAAGCCTGCAAACTCTGAGTTTAGGAATAAACTTTTACTCAGGCAAACAGTTCCACTGAAATCATTAGAACAACTGTGATGGGTAAGACCAACCCCTCAGGAGTAAGGGCTCATCAAATTGGGCCCACAGATTGGGAAATTCTGAAAATATTGTTCCTTTGGTTCATTGGCTTAGTACTATACGTAGCCTTTTTATTCCCCTCCCTCCAGATAACCAGCTTACAAGTGAAAAACATAAAGACAAGAAACCTACAAAAGGTATTTTGAGTTCGGTGTCGGAATTCAGCATCGCCGACGCGCCCTCAAAGGACACCAAAAGCAAGAAGAAATTGTCAGACTCTAGCTCAGCATCATTGTCTTCCCTCGAGAAGTGCAGGACACAGTTCACCTACATTGAAAATGACGCATCAGTTCATCAGAGAGACCGTGATGGTATGTTCTGTACAATAGATGAAGTTTGATTTCTAAATAATCTCTCGTTGCAGAGTGCCATTTTTCAACTGAAAGATGTGCTTGTTAATGATTAGACAGGAAGTTCAAGACTCTAATCTAAGCAATCAGTGAGATGCCATAGAAATTGTTTACTCTGGGAAGTTGAGGAGGATTGCTTTGAAGTGGCTGTGACATGAGGGTTCTTATTGGTGGGCCACAATAGGAGAGTTTATGTCCAGTGGAGAAGTAACACCCCTCTTTCTCAAGACCCTATAAACCTCGATTTTTGAGGAATAAGGGGTCTTGCAAAAGAGGGGTTTTTTTTCCAACAAATGGCCCCATCTACACGGGGCTTTTTATCAGAAAAACCTCTTCCGCAAAAATAATTGGAAGATATGCAAATGCGAGTGGGATTTGCATATCCTCTTCCGCAAAAAAACCCCGGCAGTGTAGCTGTAGCCAGAGAGTGTATCTCTAAGCGAGCAGCTCTCAGACTGTGGGTTGGGACCCCAAAGTCACAACCCAGTGGGGTTTTTTGGGTCACTGGGACTGGCTTAGATTGTCATGCTGAATCCTGAACCCCACTTCCCAGCTTTGGCTTCACACCCACCCCACCTACGCTGACCAGGACAGTGGGCCTTGAGGCTTGGTTTTGGCTCCTGCTATCTGGGATAGTGGGGCTTGGGCAGGCTCAAGCTTCACTCTTCCCTTCTGGGGTCATATAGTAATTTTTGTTGCCAGAATGGGACCATGGTGCAATGAAAATTGAGAAGTCCCTGCTCTAAGCTAAAGAAGTGTTTGCACTTCCTTAAAGGAAATGTACTTGGTTGCTAGTCCAAAGATGGCATGCAGCATCTATGTGGGGTTGGGTTTTTTTACATAAACAGAACAACATATTTCTTTCTCTTCCATTGTTACACAACTCATTCACGTGCCAACACAATCATTGGTTTTCATAAGAATTCCACCATCCAGAATTTATCCATGCACCAAAGCAGAATAGCTACATTCTGCAGACTTAGGGCCGGTCTACACATTATGGGAACAAGATGATCTAAGCTACGCAATTGAGTTACATTAGTAGCGTAGCTCAAATCAACATCGTTTCGATTTATTTACTGCAGGGTCCACACCGCACTGGGCCAGGCCATCCCTAGGGGAGCATGGAGGCTAGAACAGCCCTCCTGCCCCAGGTCCCGCCCCCACGCCATCTTTGCTCCACCCTGAACCAACTCCACCCCTTCCCCCAAACCCTGCTCCTTCTTCATCCTCTTGCCCAAAGCTGCCTCCCCAAACAATGTGAGCCAGGGATCACTGGAACTCTGGGTTCGCCTCCACTCCTGCACTCACCATGGCAGCAGGAAGCAGAGTGTCCTGGGGCCGGGGAAGAGGCACTTTGCTTTTCTCTGCTGAAGTGAAGCCAAGCACAGCAGGCTGGGAGGTGGGTGGCAGGGCAGAGTGGAGCAGGCTGCCTGGTTGCTCTGGCTCTTGTTGCCGTGGTGAGTGGAGGGGCTAAACCCTGCTGCTGCCCTGTGCCAGGCCCTCTGGCAATTACCCAGGCTGCCATGGGTCCTGCTCCACAGACAGTTGAGGCAACAACCGCAGGCCCTCCCAAAGCGTGGAGCTTGGGATGACTGTCCCAGACCATTCTATGGACAGGATGGCTCTGGCACTGGGTCAACAGAAGAAATTCTCTTGCCTACTTCCCTTACTCATCCCATTCTGGTGGAATACTGGATGTGAGGGCAGAGTTATTAGTGGTTGATTAAGCAGGTCTTCCCTAGACCCACTAAATTGATCAATTGTTGCAGCATTGATCCATCCTGCAGTGGAGACATACCTTTGTACAGACTACATCTTGTGTAAAACAACATAACTACACTCAAGTCAATGATGTTATGCTGATTTACAGCCCTAAATAGTCTCACAGACATGATACATCCCAATTAAATGTCTGTGATACTCTTGGTCCATAGATTAATTCCTTGTGTGGGAATTTGATAATAAAGCATTGAAAGGGATTTTATTCAATATAGTTGAAACATGTCAGTTATATCATGTTAATGATGCTTGAATTAAGCACTACTAAATACAGATCAACACAATAAACCACAATGCTCCAAAGGAACCATTATGATATACTGTGTCGCTATTTCTATAATAATTGTAGTGCTTCATGTACTTCTGGTGATATCAGAGTGCATTCAATCTCCTTTAAGGAGGTGATGTAATTATTCCATTAAAGAGTACAGCAGTTCCAACACCCATGGAGGTTTTATCTTTGTAGTGATTACAGGACTGGTCCCATAAATTGTTACAGGGACACAGGAGTAAAGTAAATAACAGATTTCACACAGTTAAAAAATGAAAAGGAAAGGAAATTAACAAAAACAATCTGTGCTCAATGAAGAAGGTTAAGAACTGGACTTAAGCCAAGAAAAGCAAGGAAACTCGAGATTTGTGTTTGTCACTGAACACTTCATTCAATCTGATGAGTTATTGTAGCTGATTACTAGGCACACACATGGAAAATCCCTAAAGCCCGTGAACCCTTCTGAAGTCAGCAGTGTTACCTGGCTATAAATGAGAATAGACTTTGGCTTACTTTGCAGAAATTGCTCTAAGAGTGTCTGACCTACAGTCCATTGATGCCAATGGAGAAGATGTCCAGGACTTCAATGAGATTTTGTATCATGCTCATACAAAGACTCAGAAGTATGAATTAAGGATGGATTGGCATCCACAAGCCACGAAGAGCAAGAAAATGTAGAGCAAAGGCAGCCCCGGAACACTGTTAAAAATAGTTTCTTTGTGGTAATTAATCTAATAACGTGGAAACCAAGAGCTGAGGTCATTATTCTCACTGAGATAAATGCAATAATGCCTTTCACAAGCAGCAGGGAACACAGAAGAGAAAACAGGAGATTGCATCTTCTTTTGTCCAGTTTGTGGCTAATTTATTTTCAAATATATATATGAATGCATAGGAATGGATGCTTAATTGCTAATATCTATTATTTATATACATTACCTCACTTAAAACAGGACAAAAAAGCCTCACACACGCAGATTTTGCAAGATGTGTTACAACCATTAGCACAGTTCATGGTATGTGCTCTGATGGGAATTTAAAAGCATCTTTACTGCACATCACAGACTTTGTGCTGAAACATTGCTTTATTATTAAAATCTTGTGTGGTCCCTTTCCTGGGTAGAGCCTTAAGAACTATATCTATTCTCTTAAGATTATGTGAGCCACACTAAGGTTAATAAATTCATGAAAATCTGTATTATTAGAAAACAGATCTTATGTTTTTTATTTTAGGAAAAGCTGAAAAAAATCCCTAATTACTTTGAATTTGATATATCTTATCAAGGTGAAAAGGGGAAATTTCATAAATATAAGATATCTAAAAAGAATATTCTTAATTACACCATGGACTACTGGAGAAAATGATTACATTTTCTACACTGTAAATTTCATACAATTAAATGCAGCAGTGTCACCTTATAAAATGTTTCAATTTTCTAATCATTTCAGTTCATTTACTCAGAAAAAAATATAAGCATGAATTTACTAAGTATCACCAAAATCTAGTCATTCTCATTCTACAGCACTGACTGGGAAGTTAGTTGTGCTTGTCTGAACTTAAATAGATCTTGACATATTGAAATAAGTATTAAAATTGATAACATTGCCAATGATATGCTACTTACGGAAAGAATTTCAATCACATGCTGTTTATTCTTACTGCCTGCTGTAATAGATTTAAAAAAAAAAGAAGTTGGAGGGTTGTTTTTTTTTTAATCAAGAAAGCTTGTAAAACATTTCTTCTGGAAAGTTTCTGACTCTGAACTTTTCAATTAACTTCACTGGTCATGCTGCATTGTGTTACATAATATATATAATCAAAACAACAACAAGGAGTCTGGTGGCACCTTAACCCTGGTCCACACGAAGGTTTTATTAAGAAATATCCCCCCTTAGGTCAAATTAATAAGTGGAGTATCCACACTACCAAGCCCGTTATTTCGAAATAATGGGCTGCTTATTTCAAAATCTCTACTCCTGCTTTCCTTGAGGAACAATGCTAATTTTGAAATAGTGGTAGTGCAGATGCGCCAGTGCTCCTATTTCGAAATAACTATTCCCCAGAGTAATTTGAACTAATTACTCCCCAGTGCTTCCTGGGGCTCTAGTAGGACATCCACATGAACGGAGCCTGCCTCAGACTAATTTTCGAGGCTTCCCCATAATGTGGATGCTCTAGTTTGATTTTGTAAAATTGGAAGTTATTGAGTTGAATTTAGTAATTTTAACATACTTTCCTTGTGTAGACATGTCTTTAAAGACTAACAGTTTTATTATGGAATAAGGTTTTCTGAATTGCAACTCACTTCATCAGATGCACTTGGTTTTGCTGAAACAGACTATCCTCACTACCAGTGTTCCCTCTCAGATTTTTCAACCATAAACTTAAAGACTAACAGTTTTATTATGGAATAAGGTTTTCTGAATTGCAACTCACTTCATCAGATGCACTTGGTTTTGCTGAAACAGACTATCCTCACTACCAGTGTTCCCTCTCAGATTTTTCAACCATAAACGGAGTGAGTTTTGGTTTGTGCACCAATATTGAGGTCATGTGTGCTGGTTTGGATGTGTGCCACCGTGGCACCCAATTTATTAACATGCACACGTTAATGTGCAGAACCTCCGACTCCCTGGCCATGTGGGATGTCCCGTTCCCGGATACCAGAGCAGACCCTGCCCCATCGCCACAGGGCAGGTCCCACTCCCACAACCCACACCCAGCCAGCAAGTCCAGTTCCTGGCCCCAGCCACCAGAACAGGCCCCGACCCCCTCAGCCACGTGGCAGCCCCCGTCACTGGAGCAGGCATCCTCTCTACCATACGGCCATGCAGGCATGCACCTTAGTGGGAACTATGACAGCTATCTCTGAAACCTGATAGATATCACACCACCTCCGAAGAAATGCAGCTGAATAAGATATCAGATAGTTTGTCATTCAAGAGCAGGAAATGTGATAACATCCCATTTTTTCCGTTGAAAGTATCAGTAAATACAATTCTCACTGTTGGAAAGTATTTTCCTTTAAAATAAAGAGGAAAAAAACAGTGGAAAAGATTTGGGCTCTGAGCCTTCAACGAGACCCACAACCCTACACCTTCTCCAAACCTATGAATTTCAATGGAGTTTCCTACTGGTGGTATGAAAACAGAGAATTTTCTGGATTCTTTAAGGCTATGGGAATGCAGATAATTAATTGTGGTGCTCCTTCATGGAAAAAATAGGACAAAGAGCTTTGTTAATAGGCACTGCAAGGTACAGTCAAATGAGGCTTCCAATGTGGTACCAGTGTGAGTACTGTTTTGGAATAACAACCAACAAAGAGAGAGAAACAACAAGCTGAATGCGCAAGGGAAAAGCTCCTGTTATGATTTCTGAAATAAGTGAGTGCACTGGACATGAAAATCATTGGCAGAATCCACTGCACTGCAAACTGCATCTCCATCATTTTCCAAATAGTTCAGATTTGCCTCTGAACACCTCATCTGGCTTCAACACTAACAAATGGGAGTTGGGTGATATACACTGTAAGTATGAAGTGGCTGCCAAAGCACCTGCAACATTTCAAGCAATTACTGCAGTCATGAGCTAGTCCTTTTGGCGCTGGTGCTAGTGTTCGTAACTGACACAATGCTGGAAAGAAAATGTCTGCCCTTTGAAATGGACCTTTCCTAGTTGATACTTTTTTCCCCCCACATGTTTTTCCCTCCCTTTTAAAAATTAACAAGCATGTGAATTAGAAGGTGAAAAGCCTACTTCAGAAAGAGGGTGAAATGTGAGCATGGGGACCCTTGGCAAAGCATAGGATTTCAAGCTGTGCTGTGTTAACTCTATATAGCTACTGCCCTCCCTCCCCATCCATCCCCTTTTTGGTTGGTATTGCAAACTTGCATTCGCTAAACTTCACTAGAAGTGTAAAGTAATTCAGACTGGAAATAAAGTAATTTTTAATAGTGAGAGTAATAACCATTGGAGCATTTCATCAAGGGTTGCACTGGCATTTGCATCACTGACAACTGTTAAATCAAAAATGGATGTTTTACTCTAACAGATCGGTTCTAGGAATTGTTTTGGAGACGTTCTAGGGCCTATTTTACACAAGAGGTCAGACTCATTGATGATAATGGTCTCTTCTAGTCTTGGAATCTGTGAATCTATTAAATCAGACTCCTTATAAAAATTAAATTAGGAGCATGTGATTAAACTGTGCGGTTTTACACCATTCCACGAGTAAGTTTTGCTCCGGCCCATACATTCATCTAAATCCTCATCCAAACACCATGTCTAATTCTGTGATTCAGATATGCAACAACAGATGCATACAAACTGACCTTTTCCATATGAACAACTAACATCTAAGCTTTCAGCAGATTTTAAGGACCTGATCCAACATCTCTGGAGTCAATGGGACTCTATTGGCTTTAGTGAGCATTAGAGCAGGCCTAAAATTGCTTTGGTGAGCTGACAGCCCAGAAAAAAATATTATTTAAACCCAAGGGCCCAATCCTGACACCTTTACATGCAAGCAAAATTCCTCCTGGAAATTTTGCCTGCATAAGGTATGCAAGAGTGGAACTGAGGATATTTACATGGAATTACAAATTCCTATCTGAAAAATTAAAGTAGTCTATTCTGTAATCTATGGCAGATGCTGAGTTTGAGTGGAATTATTGGCATCACACTAGCGATACATTTATGTTTTTTGCAATGCTGTAGTGTAGTAGAAAGTATGAAGAGGGCCAGTCCAGGGTGCCAGCCCTAGTTAAATTACTCCGATCCATTGTACAAAGCTGAGTTTCACTCACATGGAATAATTTCACCCAAAATATGGTGGGTATTTTTCTATTGAGGTCAACAATTTAAGACATCATTTTACATAATATGTTTTACCGCTGTAATTTTTCAAATTTATATTTTAAGCTTATTTTTAAATCTGCAGGAATGTCTGACTTCTGTGTCTTGTTTAAATGTAGTCACATCAGCATATATTTAGAATACTGTAATGGTGAATCAAACCCTGTCTCTTTCCTGAATATATAGTATCATGAACTTTTGTGGGCAAAACCCACTTCCTCAGATGAGCTCTCTGTAAGCTCCTGATACTAAATATATTTTTGTTACTCTCTAATGTGCTAGAGGACTGCTTGTTTTTTAAAGATGCAGACTAACATGGCCACCCCTCTGAGTCTTTCCTGGATCTTACTCTTTTTCTTTTTTCTTAGATGAATGCGCATCACTTATCCTGGCCTGCTTATTCTGCCAATTTTGGGACTTTCTTATAATGCTGCCTAATACCTGTGAAAATTGGTTGACAAACATGTGCTGTCCATCCTATAGATATCACCATACTTCCGGTGAAAACCACTCCAACAATGATTGCAACTGTGACTGTGATATTGATTGCAGCATTTTTGAATCGTGCCATGAAACCAGTGAATGTCTGGAACTTGCCTTGGAGATTTCCGAAGTCTGTTACCGCTAATAGAAAACAATTGAGAGAATTCCCATAAACTGAATGGAAACTGACATTGTAAAAAGGGTGTAAGATTGTTTCAAAACAATTGGAGTATTTCCTAATGAGGGCAGTGTATATTCTGTGATATCCTTTTGAAATACTGTATAGCATTCCAAAGAAAATTCTGTTTGTATGATCTCACAAGCCAATGAAGCCAATAAAAAATGAAAACCAACCTTGGAACAGATGAACACAAATTCCTAAATGGCAACTGTGCTAATTGCATGGTTTTATACATCTATCTGTTGCATTCAACATGGATTTCCCTCTATCCACAAGCATAAGACAAATTAGGACATTCTTTTAGGAATGATATTTATTAACTCATCTTCCTAACTGATTCATACATAAACATGTTGGGTATTATTAATAATATATGCTAGAAAATAATTGTATAATTCAAGATGTATTTATACAATCTCTTAAAATGCACTTACAGGCGCAGTTTAGGTAGAAAAGAGAAAAAAGTGAACTAAAAAACATGCTATATGTAATTACACTAAAAGTCTCTCAAAAATCTCCAGTGAATTTTGAAGAGGATGGATTTTAACAAGTTACTGCAACTCAACTTCATATTAATGTGTGCACCTATCATTATGTATTGCCAGGTTATGCCTATTGTTCCTTATTTATAGGAAAGAGCTCCCTAATTCTAATTAGTGTTAATGGAAATTGAATGCACACTTCTGGAGGAGAATTCCCATTTTTATTTGTGTGATTTTTTTTCTAATGAGCAGACAAGGTTAAGCAGTGTTGGAAAACAGACATAAGTGCACAAAGGATAAAAAATGTGTAAAAAGACTAGAAATGACAGTATCCAACTTGGAGGCACTTACTACAATCTATAATGCTCTCTGTATTTTTCTTTTCTGATAATGGGTCTGATTAATAAAAATGAAATGAACATTGCAAATTACACATGTCATAACAAAAGAATAGAAATTCAGCTACCAAGGGGCGGAGAAGCTGAATATTGAGCAAAAAGGAAAATACAAAAGTTGCTTGCCCATGTAGGAAGTTTCCCTATTGAAGCTGGCCTGCTCTATGGCAGTTTTTGTCTTTTATGAACACCCAGAGATTTCCAAGCCTGGCTACTGATTTCAGCACAGAAGAAATATTGTGCCTGCAGGGTCCAAAACAGGAATCCCCATGGAAAGTGTACCAGACCAGATCCTCATCTGGAACAAATCAACACAGCTCCATTAAAAGTGGTGAGGCTATAATGGATAGTACATCTGTACTACAGGGAGGTGTGATTGCATCTCAAGTGCACCTACTCTATCTAGCTCAGATCCCAGAGCAGGGAAGCTCCGGTAGCACATGATTCAACGTAGGCGAGCTTCACAAACCACAAAGACTGACCCAGAGCTCTGCTCCAGTAAAAACTAACTTGGATATGTCAACACGAGCTGCAATCATACCCCATGGAAATACAGACAACCACCTGTGATTTTAACAGAAGCATACCCTGATTTATACCATGTGAGCATCAACCCATGAATTTACAAGAGATTAACAGAGATGCAACAAACTACTCTGGTATTTCTTTTCTAAAAATAGGCTGTAGAGTAAACATGTTAGATTGTAATACTCATGCATATTTTAAGGCCATTTAGGGTACGACTACACTAAACAGTTATTTTGGAATAAACTATTCCGGAATAGTTATTCCAAAATAGTTTATTTTGAAGTAGCACGTCTACACTGCAGAGAAGCCTCAAAATTAGTCCGAGGCAGGCTTCCCTAATATAGACATGCTATCTCGATTTAGAGCTCCAGGAGGAATAACTTAGAATGACCGTGGTGGGGGGCTATTTCGAAATAACGGAATTGCTGTGTAGACACTCACATGGTTATTTTGGAACAATGGTTATTATTCTGAAATAACTTTGCTGTGTAGACACCATTAGTCTCCTTTACAAATTAAATACCTTTTTATTATAATAAAATTTAGATTGCATTTGGGAAAAGGAGCATTAGACTCAAATATGCCTGTACTTTATATATATATATATATATAGTTTAAGGATTAAAATGGGAGTTTCCAAATCGGTGCCAGATGTCCTATTGGCAAATAATTTTCAGAGTGGAGAATTGGACACAGTGTGAAAACCTTTACCCACACTAGTAAATCCTTTTCTTAGCACTGGAAATAGTTTCATTGATTTCAAAGCACATACGCAAAAGGGTAAGGAGGACTATTCGTGATCCTGACACTGCAATGTTATTTGTTGCATACAGGAGGACGTATGTACTACTGGCCTCAGTCAGATTCATTGCAAGCTAAGATATCTGTCCATGGTGCATCACCTAGCAGGCTCAGAGTTTATTTGATTAAGTCTTTGTAGAATTGGGTCCATATTTCCTATTACCTTTCAAAGCCAGTTTTTCTTTATATTGTAATCCATACTGGAATCTTCCTATAGGAAGAAAACCTGGCCTTGAAAGCTAATAGGAAATATGGACCCATTTCTACAAAGAAATGGAAAGAACACATAGAGCCCTGTGTGGATGCAAAATTTGTATCTGTATCTGCATCCAGATATGCAAAAGTGAGCTGTGGATATCTGCATCCGCATCTGCAGATACGGATACCTGCAGATATAAAGCAGATATCTGCAAATGTGCAGAGTTCTAGACCCAAAATCGGTATCCATATCTGTATCTGCAAAAATGAGCTGCGGCTATCCTCATGCACATTCACGGATGCGGATACCTGCAGACATCGGCTGATTTGCATAGCTAGGAACAGGACCAGGAGAGTCACAATCACAGCATTGGCTAGATGGGACAGGTCTTCCAACACTTTTTCCTGCTGTTACATGGGTTCACCACATGCAAAAGGTTGTGAACCACTGCAGCAATCAATGATGGTCTTTTAAACAGTATAGCAGTGTCTCTTCACCGAATGGTTATGCTCGCATGCTATTTGGTTTCTTGTTTCAGATGAATATTTTTGTGTTCTACAGTGTGAACTAAGAATCAGTAGAAAATGTTCTTCATCTTTATGTTACCTTATTAACCAAAAGGACTAACAGCTCATGATGCCTTTGTCCTCACTCATAAAACGGTTAATTGTAAAATACAGCATACTGCATTTTCATGACACACAGGAGCTATTTAACACATTGAGATCAGACAGCAGAGCAAGTGGGCTAGAATAATTATTCCCCCCCTGAAATATATTCCAGAAATTAGATTTTCTATTTAGAGATCCATCTTATTCCCACACATACCTGACTTTCATAAGTCAAACAAAAACCATTCATCAGATTCTGACTTAGACAGGCATTGTACAGACTGGCTAAGCGCAGAGACTAGAAGCAACATAGAGCTGTATTTTTTGGTTTACCTCAGAGAAAGGCCTACTCACCCAAATGGGAGGCATTTGGGTGGCATCAGTGGTCCATGCTGTCAGACTCTGCTGTGCTGCCAAAGTGAATGTCAGCTCTGCAATGTGTGAAACTTCTACTCTTTAAGACAAGGAATGAAATATCAGCATTTTGTAAATAGGAACATCTCCCTGGATCCTCTGCATTTCTTCAGCAACTGTATTTTTAATCCGCAAAACACTGATTGGTTCTCTCTGCCATCCAGCCTTTCACAAAAAGCCACTTGTTCCCCTCCTACAGACAAGGCTACCATCTACTGCAAACTTTCTGAAAGTCTCCTCACGAAGATTCATCTGCATTCCCCACTCCTCCTGCAAAAAATGGCCTTGCTCTTCATAGGAGGTTCATAGGGCACAACATGGATTAAACTGTAATCATTTTAAAGTGTCATTTACAGCACCTAGCAACGTCACCCTGACAAAATTGATCTCCCAGTGCTACCGCACTATAAATATTAACCCAGACTTCGCACTGAAACAAATCTCTGTTCGCACAGACCACAGACCTGGTGTCTGCTTCTCCATAACTATATTAGTCCTTCAAAATGGCAGGAGAGGAACCCAGGATCAGTGTCATCCACCCCAGCCCAAGAAGAGGGTCAGATATAGAGAGGAGAGCAAGCTGCATTAGCCCCCTTCATTGCCCTCTAGCTTCCTGGAGTTCCAGGGTTGATTTTACCTTCTGACACAATCTCAGCTTAACCTCAATGACCAATACTTTCAAGCTGTACTTGGTGGTGTGACTCTGCTTAGGATCCTTATAGATAATTTATATCATATAGATAATTTACTATTAATTATAATTACAGGTTGAACCTCTCTAATCCGGCACCCTCAGGACCTGACCAGAGAATTTGCCAAAATACAGGAAGTCAGTATTGTCCAGCAGCATTGACAATACTTCCACTGCTTGCTGTGCTCTTAGAGATGTTTAGGGGTAAATCAGAACTAGATAAGAGCACAGAACACGGAGGGCCAGGACTGGTGGCTGTAAACAAACTTTATGGGACCACGGGAAGCTTGGCTATACCCAGGATAAGTGGACATCCAGCTAACTAAAATCATGCCGGACCACGGATGTTGCCAGACCAGAGAGTGCCAAATTAGAGAGGTTCAACCTGTATAATATCCTTCATCTGGGATTTTTTTTTTTTTTAAAAAAAGGTTTCTGTTGCAAAATTGCACTTTATTTTAACATACAGCATATAAATTGTGCAGCATAGCAAGAACAGGCAAAATAATGAACCCCATATAACGATCTGGATTTTCTAAATGCTGTACATGAGTAAGAATTATTGGCATCTGATCTGTGTTCTGCTTCCTGTGCAAAATGAGTTGGTGGACCCAGGCCAACTTCTTCTGGACATATGCCTACATCCAAAGCACCACTGATGTAATAGGCACCCTAAGCAATGATTGTGTGTACACAGAGTCCATCTGTGCTCTCAAGAGAGCTCCTCTATGCCCTGGGTCAATCTACAATGTAAAGAGCAGTGCCACTGCTGCATCAGCTCTCTTGAGAAAGCTCTTGGTTCTCCTGAAATATCGGTTGGAATCTTATGTCTGCTTTAAAATAAGGATGATAATAATAATTCCTAAATCTAGGGATCAAATTCTGCTTGCCTTGTAAAGTCTTTGGGATTGATTGGGAGTAAATGGGGACCTAATTTAGGATTTATATAGTAGATTTCAGCTGTACATCTGGAGCTCAGAATGCCTGGGCATTCGTTAGTACCCCCATTTTATAGATGGGAAAACT